CCCCAAAACCCCAAAACCCCAAAACCCCATGAGACAAATTTATTGTTTTGTTTAAGTTAAATTAGATATTTAAAGATTTCTCTGATATTAAGTATAAGTAATAAATTAAAATATACAAGCAATGATATCCAGGTTTTCCAAATCCTTTATTGAGTTATCCAAAAGATAGCCCATGAGACAAATTCTTTTAAAATCATTAAATCCCGCATCAAATCAATCTTACTAACTGCAATATGCCTCTAAATTTTTCTCAAATGACATGTCTTAGATGACAGGCAATCAAGAGAAAATGGCAGGAATAAGTGCACAAATCGATGAACTTATTCCAAATGATTAGGACACAAGGACCTACTGGGAGATTGAGGATTTAACATCAATATAAATTGCATTACCTGATCAGCAAGGTGCTTTATTTAAAATATTGGATGTATTCAGAAGTCACAGTGTAAATATGACCAGGATTTTATCCAAACCTGACAAGATGATTGACGGTAAAATGATAGTCAATTTTCAGGCTGACTTTAATGGAAGAATCACTGACTCTAAAGTTCAAAACATGATAAAGGATTTGGAAACAGTAAGTGAAAAAGTAACTATACTCACTACACCTGAGGTACCATGGTTCCCAACTTAGATATATGACTTTGACCATATTGGAAAGAGAATTCTAGGTGCTGGAGATGGCATCCAGGATACTGATCATCCAGGTTTCAATGATGCCGAATATAGAAAGAGAAGAGCAGAAATTACTCAGGCAGCCCTAAAATATAAACTCAAAGATGAAACTTTGCCTTTCATTAATTACAATGAAAGAGAGAAGGAAGTATGGAAATATTGCTATCCAAGACTTACTAAGTTATTTGAGACAAATGCATGTGAAGAGTTTAACTGGACTATCGAATAATTCTAAAAGCATGTTGGTTTCAGTTAGGACAATATACCTTAATTAAATGATATTTCCTAATACCTATAGTCATAGACAGGCTGGAGACTCAAACCTGTTGGAGGATTACTAACTTAGAGAGAGTTTTTAAATGGTTTGGCCTTTAAGGTTTTCCATAGCACATAATATATTAGACATCATAGTGTTCCATTGTACACACCAGAGCCTGACATAATCCATGAACTACTTGGGCATGCACCAATGTTTGCTCACAAGGATTTTGCAGATTTCTCATAAGAGATCGGAATAGCTTCATTGGGAGCGAATGAGAGAGATCTAAATAAATTAGCGGCAATCTACTGGTTTACCATTGAGTTTGGTATGTGCAAAGAAAAAGGTGGTTTAAAAGCCTATGGAGCTGGCATTTTGAGCAGCGTTGGTGAGCTAGAGTATTGTGTGAGTGACAAACCAAAGTATTTGCCACTAGATCCTTTTGAAATCGCTTAAAATCATCTTGATTATCCAATTAGTTCAATGCAGCCATTGTATTTTGTAGCTGAATCATTTGCTGAAGCTAAACAGCAAATTACCAATTACTGTGAGTAAATAAACAAGCCATTTAATGTGACATATGATGTCAAAACCAACAGTGTGATAGTTGACAGAAAGATTAAAACTAGAAAAGAAATCTAAAAGGGTCCTCTATTCTGAGCTAATAATCTCCTCAGATCTCTCAATTGGAGGTATAAATATTTCTCTCTTAAGCGATATTAAAAAGTCTATGTTTAAGCTAAGTATTAATTTCGATAAAAATCTTTACCCTAGCTAATGTTTACTAATTCTCAATAATATTCTTATACATAAGCTCGAACAACTTTATTTAAAACCATTTTTCATTTCCAAATTTGCTCTCTAAGGGGTTTTGGGGTTTTGGGGTTTTGGGG